CCTAATGAAACTGAGAAGCTTCTGTAAGGCAAAAGACACAGTCAGCAAGACAAAAAGGCAGCCCACAGAATGGGAAAAAATATTCACTAATCCCACATCTGACAGAGGGTTGATCTCCAAAATTTACAAAGAACTCAAGAAGCAAGTCTCCAAAACACCAAAGGACCCTATTAAAAAGTGGGCTGCAGAACTAAATAGAGAGTTTTCAATAGAGGAGTTTAAAATGGCTGAGAGGCACTTGAGAAAGTGCTCAACATCCTTAGCCATCCGGGAAATGCAAATCAAAACAACTCTGAGATACCATCTCACTCCTGTCAGAATGGCTGAAATCAAAAACACCAATGACAATTTATGCTGGAGAGGATGTGGTAAAAGGGGGACACTCCTCCATTGCTGGTAGGAGTGCCAACTGGTTCAGCCACTTTGGAAATCAGTATGGAGATTCCTCAGAAAAATGGGAATAAACCTACCACAAGACCCAGCAACTCCACTCTTAGGCATATATCCAAAAGATGCCCATTCATACAACAAAGATATCTGCTCCACTATGTTCATAGCAGCTTTATTTGTAATAGCCAGAACTTGGAAGCAACCTAGATGTCCCTCACCCGAAGAGTGGATAGAGAAAATGTGGTACATCTACACAATGGAGTACTATTCAGCAGAAAAAAATAATGGAATCATGAGATTCGCAGGCAAATGGATGACACTAGAAGAAACCATCCTGAGTGAGGTAACCCAGTCACAAAAAGAGAAACATGGCATGTACTCTCTCATATATGGATTTTAGACATAGATCTGGGGAGTGCCAGCCTACAATCCTATGGCCAGAGAGTCTGGGAAACAGAAACTTCATTTAGTCGCTGATCGAAGAAGAGGCAGACTCCCTTGGTTAAGTACTGAGCTGAACTCAAGAAAGCCAGTAACAGAGAGGGAGGACTGATGATCAAAGGGATTAAGACTGGGCTGGTTTAACCCCCAGAAACAGCTGACCAGACAAAGATTAACTCTTGAATCCCAGGCATCAGCCTGGGAATCCAGCATGGGACTGATCAAGACCCCCTGAATCTGGGTGTCAGTGAGGAGGCCTAGGGAATCTATTGAGCCTTGGGCAGCAGATCAGTACCCATCCCAAGTATACACACGGACTTTGGACTCCCATAGAACAATGTGAGGTGCACTCTCACCGTGAACTCTTGGGGAAGGGTCTAGGCCCTGCCCTGTATGAAATGACGGACTATGGACACCCCCATGGAGGGCCTCACCCCCCCGGGGGGAATGAGGGGATAACGGAGGGGGGATTGGGGGGAGGGCATGGGAGGAGGGGAGGGAATGGGAGAGGGACCTGGAACTGACTTGTGAAGCAACCTCGTTTCTTATCTAAATTTAAACTGGAAAATAAAATATAAAAAAAATTTAAAAAAAGAGTTGCCATGGTCATGGTGTCTCTTTACAGCAATAGAAACCCCAACTAAGATGACTGCTAACTGAATAATTAGAATCTCACTGTCTGAATTTTGAAGGAACATAAGTATTTAGCCCACTGCAGTACTTTCCCATACACAAACTTCCTGAGTCTCTTAAAAGCCATTTGAAGGCAGGATTATTATCCTCATTTTAGTTGCAATAAATTGAGGCTCTGTTAAAGGGCAGATCTAGGATACAAGTGCAAGCAATGTGGATCTATGTCTGAGCTCTTAACCACTAAACATTTCCCTTAAAAAGGTCAGGGACAGAGAGGTGAATGTCTGAAGTGAGTGACAGGAAGCGACTGTGGGAAAAGCGAGGGTCAGAGAAAAAATGGGCCAGAAAGGTGAATCATGGCAATAATTTTGTATGATGAGTGAGAAATAATTAGCAAGAAGAGAAATGACACTCCAGGTGTATGAGCCCAGGCTAGGATATAGAGACTGGAAATTGTGCAGAAATGGGCTGGTAGAACATGCTGGAAAGTGGGGAATGGGAAGCCTCTGGGCTCTGACATGCGCAGTGGCACATTTCATCAGCTATTCTGTACATGAATCTTAGGAAAGAGGCCTGGAGAGGTAACCGGGTCAAAACATGCAGGGCCTTACACACATGATAAAGAACCAATACATTAAACTATGTGCAGCAGGGAACATCAGACACTCTTAAGTGGTGGATTCATCAATTATCCCAGTCCTCTGATCATTCATACCATATACGCACACAGGGATTTCACACTATCTCAATACACATGTGCAATTTCTACAGGCTAATTAAAAGGAAAAACACATTCTTCAAAAGTTGAGATTTGCATTTTTAGAGAATTTGGTAGTGTCCAGAGGGTTATTTGAGAAGGAAGGAGTGTGGGAATGCTAGGAAGGGACAACCAAATATGAATCTCTTGTAAAAAGCCCAGAGCTGGGGACTGTAGGGGTTACCAACTGCTTTCTGGTTGGAATTTTAAAGCCACTACACAGGAAGAATGCATGCCTGGTGCTATAAATCAGTGTGTTTATTTGGGACTAAAGGGACTTGGGGACCAGCAGGCCAGAAACTTCCCTCTACATGCAAAATATACTTAGCACAAAATTGATTTAAATCATTTCTGCAACATGAAGTGCATTTGCGGTATTGCACAGCCTTCTCCACCATCTGTCTTTAAAATGTTCTGATAAACACAAAGTGTATCCCCATCACACATTAGTTCCCCACCTATGCCATAATGTGAGTTTCACAGAGGGGATGGTAACCTGTTCTTCCCCGTGTGTCTCAATGCTCTATAAAGAATCTACATCAGCAGTTCTCAACCTGTGGGTCATGACCCTTTTGGGGGTCACAAATCAGTTATCCTGCATATCAGATATTTACATTATGATTCATAACTAGCAAAATTAAAGTTAGGAAGTAGCAACCTAATAATTTTATGGTTGGGGATCATTACGACATGAGGAACTGTATAAAAGGGCCACAGCATTAGGAAGGTTGAGAACCACTGATCTAGAGGGTATTGTCAAGCATCCCATAGAAAGAAGGGAAGAGCATGATTGAAAGATCACCCGCTTTTCTGATCAAGAGTGGGGTAACTATAAAGGCAGTTTATGGAGGCTGGAGTGAGGCAAATAGAAAGCTGAATAAGCAACAGCACGGTCATCCATCTTTTGTGTGCCCTTGAGGTTAGAACAATACGTGGGAAGGGGTCAATGGCTAGTGAGTTGCTCCATCTGAGAATGTATTTTCTGAAAGACAGAAATGCCTAGAGATACCAAATATCCAAGGAAATAACTTCACATATCTTAATGCTAGAGTTGAGACTCTAGAACTCCTCACATTATGGTATATTGATAACTGCTAGTGCCGGCTAACCAAACAAGTTCTATACATGGCTTTATCCATACCTACCTTCCCCCCATACAACGCCTGCATATTTCTTTAAAAACACTTAAGACGTCAGATTTTGGAATCATGCACAGAAAATCAGTTACTACTATTTGAAAAAAATTTGAAGATAAACTATTTATTTGAATTTGAGTTTCTTCAAATGTAACTTTTTAGCTCTGTTCTCTCTTAGATCAAATGCAGCCATGCTGCTCATCAGGCTCTCTGTGTCCCTCAGAGGAAGGAAGGGACACAGAGCCCTTAGTCTTCCCATGCATGCACTATGAGTCTCTGACAGTTGGAGTGTATGGACAAGGGTACTGTGGACAGAGCTGAAAGCAGTGTCTCATGGCTATGTTAACCAAGGTTAGCATCCCTACTTTGAAACAGCCAGGAATGGGGGAGATAGATGGATATCCAGGGATCCCAAGGGAATTGTCCAAACACTCCACTCTCCTGCCATCTTACCAGCTGTCTGACCAATAGGCTATTCTGCCTTCTTCTGATATCATTGTGAAACAGGGACAGTCCCATGGGAGAATGACTTTTCTTGGTGATGGAGTAGCTTGGGGGTGCTTTCGACCAGGAGGAACCTCCCCCATCTCTCAGATTTCCAGACTCTGGTTTGTATTTGAAGGATCCTGCTGCTCGCTGTTCTAACATCATCCATCTTTGTCAGCACCCGAGGCCACAGCTTCAGCTGAGTGGCCAATGATCTACAGCAGCGGGAGTACCCCAAGGACATTACACTCTATGGCATTTATATGGACTCCAAACTCACCAGAGATGGATTGAGGCTGCCATAAAGGAGACCATCTAAGGGACAGTAGGAAAAACAATAGCGTTCTCCATTCACTTTCCCTTTCTGCAGAAGTCAGCTTATATCTTACTTAGGAAATGGAGAAGGCAAGTGAATATCAGGATTTTCAGAAGCCAGCAGAGTAATAGACTCATCTTTGAATATCAGTGGCACTATACTTGTGGCCCAGATATACCAACATCCCACATAGGCAATAAGGTGCTCACAACGCCACACTTCAAATTCTCCCTACCAACCAGACATGCGTGAAAATGAGAAGACGGGATCAAGCAAGACCTCGAATGAATGTCTACTCTGTTACTCTGGCAGGGATCTTCACTGTCACAGTCTTCATGTGATTGATGGGCAGGCTGGCCCTCGATGGACAGAGCTCTGATCTCACAGGCTGCATGCCTAGTCTGCAAACTAGATCAAAGGCAGCAGCATGTCTGAGTTTGGACCATCAGCATGATGGGGCCCACCTTTACCTGATCCGACAGGTACTTCCTAAGGTATTCAGGAACCCAAGTGAAAATTGAGCTGTCTCTACCACAAAACAGTCATTTATTTTTTTAATAGCTAATGGTAATCAGTTATGCAAGCACTAAGCTTGCTGCAAAGAAAATGCCCAGTTGTCAGAAATGTTCCACATGGCTGTGTATGCACTACAGCAGACCACTGTGTGCATGCTTAGTCGTATTCCTCATGGACCGCCTGCAGCTAACTTTAAAAGATACAGATATTGTAATGTATATTATAATTTAAACCACACTAACACAAACACATTTTAAAAAATCATCCATGCCTGATAAAGCCCCACATTTATACACGGAGAAAGACAACAATAAATTTGGCTTACCAGCTTAAGCTGTTTGAGGCAGCAGAGGAACAAGTTGCTGGGAAGTGTCCAGTGCTTTCATTCAATAAATCACATTGGCTCTGCTTTCTCCTGTAGCTCAGCTTCTGCGCAAAGCGAGCAAACCTCCTTCCTATTCTGTGCAAAGAATAAAATGTGAACAGGATCACTGCAGGCAAGAGCCGAAGTCCATGATCACTAAGCTTCTCCTAAGGCAAAATAAAAGCGTGAATGATGCATGGGGAGAGGAGGGTAGAGGGAAACAGCTTGGCTTAGAATCTAGGTATGTTCTCGGGACTGCAGCGGGGGAAGGCTGGATTTCTCAAGCGTGTGTGTGTGTGTGTGTGTGTGTGTGTGTGTGTGTGTGTGTAGTAAAAGGGTGCCATGACTTCAGTGTGTGTTTATCCTATTGTATCTGCGAGGACCATTCAGAATGACACACAAAACTGAATCGGAACCAACTGTCACTCAAGGGTCCACAAAGGGGCTGTGAAGCAGTTAGTTCTGCACCACATTAGTAGAGCGGGAGAATTATCACCTGTAACTCTAGAGCCCCCTCAGTGACATGTTCCCACAGCTGCTGGAATCCAGAAACACACAGGTGGCAGCCACAACCCCTCCCTCCCCTAAGCTTCTAGGAGGAGTGATGGGGGCCCTTTCCAGTACTGGGGCTGTCAGCCTAGGCATGGGTTTTAAGTAGGAGTGAAAAAGTAGTCAACAAGCACTGGGCTAAGGACCCCATGAGGCTTTGCCTTGTGAAGAAGACTCCAACGCTGTTTCAGTGCCAGCCACATATGGGTGTACCTGGCTCCCTCCCAGAGCTGTGCTTCACATGACTAATGCAACACATGAAATGGATTTCCTCGAAAGCCATACGAGAAGGCTTCTCTTATGTCTCCCTCTGAAATGAAAAACCCAATGAGCTTTGTACATGTTGGCTATGTTAGGGAGGATTTGTCACTGAAGAGCACATATAACACATACAAACACACACACACACACACACACACACACACACACAGAGAGAGAGACCTAACCTAGCAACAGCATTAAGGATCTTTGTAATGCTCTATTCAGATACTTTGTCTGCCAAATGAATGTTTAGCTGCTATAATGACTTCAGATATAATTCTGTTCTCTTTGATTAGACACTGTGTTGTCAGCTTTGTCCTTTATGCCTGGAGACAAACCGACCTCTAAATTTTGAAGGTGAGTCTGTACTGACTCAGATCATGTCTTGCTCGTAAGCAGGGAGGTAAAGTGTTAATTTGGGGCTGGTCATGTCCTAAGAAAATGGGCAAAGCATTTTGTGTTCATGAAAATTCTCCCTCTTTCTGGAGACATCCTGGCGCCTGCCAGCTCACTCTGACAAGTGGCAGGTAGTTGCTCTGGAGCTTGCAGGTGAGGTAAGACAGTGACTCAGAAGGGGCTGCGGATGTATCTCAGCTGGTGGAAGGCTTGTCTGACATACTGTTACCTCCCCAGTACCCCATCAGCTGGGCATGGTAGTACATGCCTGTAATCCCAGCACTTGGGAGGTAAAGACAAGAGGATCAGAAGTTCAAGTTTATGTTTGGAATTAGAAGTCATCCTGGGACACACAAGATGCTGTCTGGAAGAGAAAAAGTGAGACAGCAAACCAGACAATCTGGTTCTCCAAAGGAAGAGCTCAGCTTGCTTTTCCACAGTTCTCTTACTTTTCTATTCTAAAAAATTTTTAATGGCTTATTTATTCTTATTTCATGTGTATTGGTGTTTTCCAGCATGTGTATCTGTGTGAAGGTGTCAGATCCCCTGGAACTGGAGTTACAGACAGCTGTGAGCTGCCATGTGGGTGCTGGGAATTGAAACCAGTCCTCTGGAAGAACAGCCAATGCTCTTGACCTCTGAGCCAGGTGGTACATTCTTTTAATCCTTGCACGCCATTGGCAGAGGCAGGTGGGTCTCTGACACTGGTCTACAGAATGAGTTCCCTGGCTAGGAAACCATGAGAACCATGCCTCAACCCCCACTCCCAAACTGAATTTAGTTTTTTATTATTAGAGAATTCAGAGTTTTAGAGCTCACTCTCTCTAGAACACTTATTTTTAAAAAGCTTAGTTGATAAGATGGGGTGGAGGTGGAGAGGTGTGTGTGTGTGTGTGTGTGTGTGTGTGTGTGTGTGTGTGTGTACTACAATGCATGCAGAGGTCAGCAGAGGTCAGAGGACAACTTTCAGGAGCTGATTCTCTTGTTCCAGCACATGAGTCCTGAGTATTGAACTCAGATCTTCAGAAAGACACCTCAGCTGGGAGGCTGAACCATCTTGCAGGTCTTATCCTCCCTTTCTTTCCTAGGCTGTATCTACGCATGGATCATCATTATAAATAACTTAAACTGGGAATATCCCTGTCATTTATGGATCAGGCGGCTGTTTGTTTTCTATCTGGGATTAAAAGATATCCAAGCTGTTCTTTCAGTTAAAGACCAGTAACTCTCAGGTAAAAATTTTTACCATAACACCTAGAGAAAAATTGACCCTGACTTTAATGTAGATTTACTTTCAATACATCTGTTAAAGTAAGTCATGTGACTCTGAGTAAGTCTATCAAGATCTGAGGCTTTTGGGGTGGGGGTTACAAGTTCCATCTTGGTACAAACCTGAGGGGCTAGTGCCTCTTGTCATAGCAGCACAACATCTGGGAGCAAAAGCATGTCGAACATCTCTAATCTAAAAACCCGAAGTCCAAAATGCTGCATCAGCAATGTTAGTATTCAGGCATTTGCTCTGATCTGCTCTTGGAGACCTGGCAGGACATGTCATCAACTATAGCCTCTTCCTGTGGGCAGGCACTAAATCCCCTTATAAAAGGCAAGTCCCTCCCACCTCCCAGCTCCCTCCCTCTCTCTGTGTCTCTGTCTCTGTCTCTGTGTCTCTGTCTCTTTGTCTCTCTGTCTCTGTCTCTGTCTCTGTGTCTCTGTCTCTTTGTCTCTCTGTCTCTGTCTCTGTATCTGTCTCTGTCTCTGTCTCTGTCTCTCTCTCTCTCTCTCTCTCTCTCTCTCCTTCCCTCTTGCTCCCAGAGGCTGGTCTCCCTGCCGTCTCCCCTCCCCTCAATAACTCTCCCATGTGAGTTCTGTTGTATGGTGTTACTTTCCTTCCCACCACCACTAAACAATAACCAACAACTTTTTTGCACATAGATACAACACCAACAAGTGGAGAAGTCCACACTGTGATCCATACTTCGTGAACAAAATTATTAAAAATATTGTATAAAAACACTTTTAGGTTACACGGGCAAGGTATCCAAGAAACAAATAATTTTGTGTTTAGACTTGGCTCGAAGTTCTAAAATGCCTTATTCTATGTATAGGACTGGCTTAAAAGCTAAACTCTACAACACATTTAGTCCCAAGCATTTGGGGTAAAGGATTCTTAATCTACATTCAATGTGGGATCAAAAGGTCCAAGTCCTTGGGAAAGGAGCTTCAGGACTCCTTTGGTAACTCAGTGATCTATTTATTCTTCAACAGCTGTATTTATCATGTCCTTAGTAAGTTAGACACACTGTATCACATGCTTCCATGTTACCTACAGGTGTAAGATCTCTGGTACACCTTGGGAAAATGATCCCTTTCCTGGGCTTGCTTAGCTCCTTAGCCTAGTTTCTCCCTCTCTCCCTACTTGCACTCAGTGTCACAGTCGTTTTGAATATGTCTTGGTTCCTTGGATATGCGGGATGTTCTCTTAACACCAGGTCTTTGCACATGGTGTTCTAGATGGCAGGACAGCCCTCTTTTATTGGCTAACTCCTCTATAGCCTTGCAGTTTCAGCTTAGACTTCACCTCTTGGTGATGTTTTCCTGGACTTTGGGCTCCTAAGTCCTTGCTCTGAGGTCTGGGATGTAGTACCCAATCCTCTCCCATCATCCTTTGTTGTAGTTGCTCATTTTCACTCATCTCCATTGCATTGTAGAGCTTGGGTGGCTTTAAGGTCTCTTGTTCAATGCTGTATTCCAGTTTCTAAACGAGTTCCTGACACATGGAAGACATTCGGTAAATACACAGCATCTTGTCAAAGTGCTTAGTATGTACTTGCCCTGTAAATGAAAGGAAAACTAAAAAACTTGGAAGGATAATGGGAAGAGGCCTCAGGATTTGAAGATCCTGAAGCTCTCTTGGTATGTCCCATCTAAGCTGTTTGACTGAGCGCATGCACTGAAGACTAGCCTCCTCTGACTAATTCTTTTTGATTCGTCTCAGCCCATACTGATCACACCCTCATCTGTCTCCCGATCCCAGGCACTTTCACAGCGTGTTCTCTCTGTTTTGTTCTCCAGATGTTTCCTGGGGGTTTGTGTCATGTCTACAAACTGGTATTCTCCATAACTCCTAGCATAAGCCTGCAATTAGCGGATGCTTGATTCATTGAACAGCAGGCCTTTGCTCAAATAGGGAGTTTCACGATCAGTTTTGCAGGAAGCTGACTCTGGTTTGTGGGGGATGGACTGCTTAGATGGTCCAGACTGCTGGGGGAGTTTACTAATCAGCACAGACTTGGGATTTCAAAGCAGATTTCTTCTTTTTTCCATCTCCCTCCCTCCATGTCCTAACACCAGTGCCCTCTTTGGGAACACTAAGAATGTTCCTTCCACTCTCAGAACGTCCCTCCACCCAGTTCCACCCCCACAGCCGTCTTTCCTTGCTTAGGTTGTCATCATGCCTCACTGATTCTATTAAAAAGTCCTTTGAAGAAAAGGATTGCATTTTATTTTTTCTCTCCTCCAGCCCTTGCAGTTCTTGGCCCAATGCCTTGTAGATAATAACTGCTCAGTGAACTCTAAGAAAGAGAAACATTTGTGAAGCTGTATTGTTGGAAGGGCATGAAGGAGAAAGTGGGGTCTTTTCAGAGACCAAAAGAGAGCAGTTTAGTGATAGAGATGCCACTGACAATAGTACAGGTGGGGACGAAGAAGTACAGGTTCAAAGGACCTGAGTGAGGTCACTTCTTTCTGGAATGTGTATGGAGGACCTAGAGAAGGCTGTGCTATAATTGGATGCTGAGGAATGAAGACTCCTGCAGTTTGGCAAGAAGCAAGGGGAGAGGGCCACGGCACAGAGTCAAGGCATGGAGCCCTTGGATTGTGGGACGGATGAGTAGTCCCTGGGACTGGACTCAGATGAGCTCATTAGGACTTGTCCCACAAAGCAGGCCTAAGTAGCCCTAGGAAGGCTTGATGCTGCGTTGAGT